AAGGGCCTGCAGGGCTTCGAAGGCATTGACCGCGTGCTGGAAGTGGACCAGACCCCCATCGGCAAGACCCCGCGCAGCTGCCCGGCCACCTACATCGGCTTCTGGGACACCATCCGCAAGCTCTATGCCGAAACGCTGGAGGCCAAGGCGCGCGGCTACGCGGCCGGCCGCTTCTCGTTCAACACCGGCGAAGGCCGCTGCCCGGCCTGCGAGGGCCAGGGCATGCGCACCATCGAGATGAGCTTCCTGCCCGACGTGAAGGTGCCCTGCGAGGTCTGCCACGGCGCGCGCTTCAACCCCGAGACCCTGGCCGTCTCCTGGCGCGGCAAGAGCATTGGCGATGTGCTGCAGATGGAGGTGGACGAGGCCGTCGAGTTCTTCGCCAGCATGCCCAGCATCGCCCACCCGCTGCAACTGCTCAAGGACGTGGGCCTGGGCTATCTCACGCTGGGCCAGCCCTCGCCCACGCTGTCGGGCGGCGAAGCCCAGCGCATCAAGCTCGTCACCGAGCTGACCAAGGTGCGCGACGACGTGACCCGGCGCGGCAACAAGGCGCCGCACACGCTCTATGTGCTGGACGAACCCACGGTGGGCCTGCACATGGCCGATGTGGACAAGCTCATCCGCGTGCTGCACCGCCTGGTCGATGCGGGCCACAGCGTGGTCGTCATCGAGCATGACCTGGACGTGATCGCCGAGGCCGACTGGATCATCGACCTCGGCCCCGAAGGCGGAAAGGACGGCGGCCGCATCATCGCGGCCGGCACGCCCGAGGATCTGGTGGCTGCGGGCACGCACACGGGCAAGGCGCTCAAGCCCGTGCTGGCCCGTTGAGCCTCAGGCGCAGGCCACGCCTGCGCTGCGTGCGGAGCCTGCTGGCAGGCGGCTGCTCCAGAAGACCAGCACCAGGCCCACGGCCGTCAGCGCGGCGGCGGCCCAGCCCAGGTTGACCAGGCCCAGGCCACCGGCCAGGGCCAGGCCGCCAACCCAGGCACCCAGGGCGTTGCCCAGGTTGAAGGCCGCAATGTTCAGGCTGGAGACCAGGTTGGCGCCCTGGGGGCCGGCCTGGTCCAGCACGCGCATCTGCATGGGGGCCACCGTGGCGAAGGCCACGACGCCCAGCACGATCACATAGGCCATGGCCACGGCCTGGTTCCCGAAGGCCCAGCGGCCTGCCGCCAGCACCACCATCAGCGCCGCAATGCTCCACACCAGGGCGCGCATCACGCCCCGGTCGGCCAGCTTGCCGCCCAGCAGATTGCCTGCGGCCAGGCCCGCGCCGAACAGCAGCAGGGTCAGTGCCACCAGGCTGTCGCCCATGCGGGTCACCTGGGTCAGCAGCGGCTCCACATAGGTGTAGAGCGCAAACACGCCCGCAAAGCCGAAGGCCGTGATGCCCAGGCCCAGCCAGACCTGGCCGTTGGCCAGCACGGCCAGCTCCTGTGCCAGCGGCGTGACCTCGGGGCGGCCCTGGTCGCGCGGCACGAAGGCGGCCAGGATGGCAAAGGCCAGCACGCCGATCGCGGCCACGGCCAGGAAGGCGCTGCGCCAGCCGAACATCTGGCCGATCCAGGCGCCGGCAGGCACGCCCAGCAGGGTGGCCAGGGTCAGGCCCGAGAACATCAGCGCAATCGCCGACGCCTTCTTGTCCACCGGCACCAGGCCCGTGGCCACCACGGCGCCAACGCCGAAGAAGGTGCCGTGGGTCAGCGAGGTCAGCACGCGCGCCGACATCAGCCATTCATAGCTGGGTGCAAACGCGGCGGCCAGGTTGCCGGCGATGAAGATCAGCATCAGCGCCAGCAGCAGGCGCTTGCGCGGCCATTGGCGCGTCAGCAGCGTGAGCACGGGCGCGCCTACGGCCACGCCGATGGCG